ATTTCATCATATTTTTTTTTGGTCGAAATTGATCCAAAAAATGACCCTTCAGGGCTTAAATGTCACATTTTTCTGTGGTCGGTAATCATAATTTCTTTATGTTTTTATTTCAAGGAATGTTCCTTTTGTTCTGAAAAAATTTCAAAAGTAAAAACAAATATAAAATAATACAAATCGCCTTAAGACCCAGAAAATATGGTCAACCATAAATTAAACATAAATAATATCACATTATAGCCAATTCAGAAAAAAAACACGATGATTAGTTAAATTGTTTTGTTTGGTGTTTGTTGACCTCAACAATCAACTGTCAACCCTTCATCTCTCTCCTCTCACACACACACACACGTGCATGTATCTCATTTGACAAATTCATAGCCGTATTCATCATATATTCATTATTAGTCTAAAAAGAGTAAAAATAAAAAGAAAAAAAATTTGTCGCCATTGTAATCCACGAAGACCAGGTTAAGCGGCGTGAAAAAGAAACGAAAAGCTTTTCTAACTTGTTAACTAAATTATTACGATTTTTTTTTCATTCGTCCATCGAATTGTTTCTGTGGGTTTCACCATTTTTATTTCTATTTTTGTGTTTGTGTTTTGTGTCCATGGGCCATAAAACAAAAACTCAACACTTCAAAAGCTCTATTGAAATAATCTTTTTGATGGTTACCATGTTGGCCAAAAAAAAAATATTTTCATTTTTTTTTATTAGTATCATATTCACCTGAAACACATACCCCTGAATAATTTAAACGTATATGCATGTGTGTAGTTGACCTTTGTCAATCAAATTAGATTTAGAACAACAACAACAAAACAACAAATGTTTCAAATTTTTTATGTATTAGTTTCATTTTCTCTATCTAACGACAAATTATCACTGTTGTTTTTTCTTTCACTTGTGTGATCATGATTGAAAGTGAAAATTTGAAATAGCTAAGCAACAGGTTTCAACACATTCATTTCTATACATCTTTTAAATATTTTGTTTGATGGTTTGATCAGCTTTTTAAATCGTTTTGGTTCGTGTTTTGATTGTGTATATGTTTTTTTTCATTCAATCCTTCATCAAATATAATATAAAAACATAGATAAAAGATTTACGAATAAGGAAGAATCTTCTTTCATGGTCATCGACTAAATCATCGTCATCGTTTTATATTTGATTATTCTACATTTTTTCAAATAGATTCAATGGATTGAATCTATGTTGATTGATTGATCTTTTTTTTCTACCTCTTTCTCTGTTTCTTTTACACCATTTTGGTTTTTTATTATTATTTTTTTTTTGGTACTGATTATCAATGTCAATCTTTGTTTTTTATTCTGTGTGTGTGTGTGGATCACAGAAAAAAATGATTCCATGATGATGATTATTATTATGATTTGATAATGAAGATCTTCATCATTGAATGTATAAATATGTAGTGAAAGTTATTAAGCTATTTATACATTGATGATGATCAAACGTATGTGTGTTTACTGTATACAAATAGCCGAAAGCCATTTTCTGTTAGAAAAAAAAAATGAAAATCCATTTATGATAGGAAATATCTAATGATGACGATGATGATGATGTCATCCAATGTCGTTGATTCAATTAGATTCGATTTTTTTTATGTTATTGTTGATACCTTCAAATTATGTATTCATGATTAAATGTCCTTGACAAACAGACTGATTGATTCCCTTTATTCTTCATTTTATTAATACAATCTTGTATTGAATGATGATTATCGATTCTATAGCTTTCTATTCAACCACGAACATTACGATGAAATTAAAGACAAACAAATGTTTCCTGTCAAAATCAAATTAAATGAAATTTTTATATGGATTGATGGGATAATAATGATTTAACGCTTAAGGGGCAATTAATTTTTTTTCCATTTTGATTGATTTGATTTTTTTTCAAAGTTTAAAATTAAATTTTGATCATTTTTCCTGCTTCTTCATCATCATCATCATCTTCTTTTGTTACCATTGTTATTGGTTTAGGTAAATTCGCAAATTTAATCAATTGTGTGTGTGTGTGTGTGTGTGTGTATGCGGCAAGCCTATCAATAAACAGAGTCATTCATTTGGTATTGATTTTTATTCGATTAAGATGTTAGTGAGGGTTTGTTTGTTGCCATCCTGATGATGTTGATGAGATTTTTCAATTTGATTGGCTACCTTGATTTTTTTTTCTCTCTTTTACTCATTATTCATTATTCGTATTGATTCCAAATTATTTGTTGATTGACTATCACTATCATCGATGATCAATATCAATGGAAAATAATAATAAAAAAAATAACAACAACAATTTGTACTGTTAGCTATATTGTGGTTGAGCTAGTTGATGATGATGATGATTATTATGATGGTGGTAGCATAAGCATTGAAATTTTTTTCAATTTAATTTCTTTTTGACTTTCACTCATTTGCTCTTTCTTTTTGTTTATATTTAAAAATTGTTTCTTTTGTTTTACTCTTTTCATTACAAAATGACATACATGAAATTGGCAGTAACAATGAAATTATGGAGAGAAAGAAAACAAAAAAAAATTCAATGTCAACAAAGAATAATGACCAACTTAAATTAAATTCAAATTCAAATTTTCAGATTTTTTTTCATTCTTTCTTGCTTACATTCAATAATTATTACCAATTTGTCATTGATAAATTCATCATCATCATTATAACGGTTGATTCTGATTGGTCAAAATCGATGGGATCAAAGACACCATAAATTTTAAAAAAAATGATATTAAATTTTAAATTGTCGATTTTTTTTTCGTTTTCACCAAAATATATAAATTGGTTGGATTGATCATCATCGTTATTCTTCATTCAATATTCATAGAATCGATATGTGATTCATCTGTTAGCTTCATCTGTTTTTCTGACTTGTTCTTTTTTTGACTTGAAAACCGTAAGTCCATTTGACCATGTTCTCATTTGTAAAAAGATTGCTCTTGTTGTTGTTGTTTTGGCTCGATATTCATCATAAATTATGGCCAAATATTAACAACAACAACAATAGATCATAACAATTATCTGATGACCAAAATAATGGAAAAACTTCGTTTTTCTCTTATGTGAAATAATAATCGTATTAGATGCACAAATGATTTAGATATTTGTTCTCGATTTTTTTTCTCTCTTGTTTTTTCTTTTGATGTGATCGAATTTCATCAACTTTAATATGTTATGATTTATAAAAATTTTTTAAAATGAAAATAATCGATTCGTTATAAACGCTATAGGTACAAATTATCATCCATTATATCATTGATGTTTTTTTGTATGGATCACATTCGTATGGTTGGCTAAAATCATCATCATCATCATCATCATCATTCTAGATATGATGATGCCATGAAGAAAAAAAAATTAAATTGATTTTTTTTCGGTAGCTTATCGATGTTTTTTTTTATTTCTTTTTCTCTCCTTTCCGTTGCTTCAATATTGATATCGATGTTGTCCGTTTTTCATGATGATAGTGGATGGACACCAAAAAAATGTTGTTCAACTACCTGAACATTTTTTTTTGTTGAGCAATTGATTTTATTTCTAGACCCATTCAATCATCATCATATATATCATCAATCAAATAATCGATTTGTTGTATTGTTTATCATTTATATTTGATCACATTTTTTTTCTCCACTCCGTTTTAGAACGTACATTTTTTTTAAATGTTGATCTCAATGATCCAATCAGATCGATATCGATAATCAAACTACTGTGTGTAGTACCATTATGGTTTATACGTTGATGATGATGATGATGGTCAATTGTTAAAATCATATCATATCGCTTTCGATATCTGATTGAATCAAATAGTACATGTTAAAGAATTTTTCTATTTCTACTTGATGATTTTTTTTGTCATTTTTTTTTCTTCTGTCTATTGTTGATCCAATTGATGATCATTCACGTATACGAATGAATGATATGTACACCCGATATGATACGTTGACCTAGATTCTATTTTGTTGTTGTCGTTTTTTTTGTTATTTTTCATTTTGATTCAATTGAATTTAATTCAATTCAATTTTTTTTGTGCAAAAGCATCGATTTCAACTCTTTATCTTATATATGTCATCCAATCATCATGAAATGTTTGTATTGATGTTTGGATTGCACATTTTTTTTCTTTGGCTAAATGAATCAACGATGATGAATTACGAGTCTTTAAAGAAAGAGAGAATCCGTTTATCTTTTTTTTCGATTTAATTTTTGTTCATCATTATTGTTGTTGTTTGAAACGACAAACCAAAGTTTTCTTTTTTTTTAACTCGTGTTTTATTTGATTTAATACACACACACACACACAATAGAAACAGCGATGAAGAGTTTACCGATCATGAACACATACGCCCCAATAATATATCTTATTAGGACACATATACACCACACATATTGAAGATCGCATTACTTTATTTTTTTTTATTTCCTTTATTTTTCTCTCTGGTGTTTGATAGCATATAAATAAATAAATAAACGTCAATGCTCTAATTTGATTATTATTTTGAAAATTATCGCACAATCTCTATTTCAATTTCTACTGATATTATCCATAAGATATGAAAAAAAAATGTAAATCATATTGATTAATTGATTGATATTGGTTTTCTTTGGCTGAAAAAAACTCTTTCATTCCATATCTAGTACATTATTATTGTAAATTTATGAATCAAATATACTAATGTAGAACCCTTTGCTATTAATCACATACTGATAATAATAACTCTAATTTAATTTAATAATTTTTTTTTCTCTTTTATGTTCAATTCTAGATTGCATTATTTGGAATTTTTTTTCTTTTCTTCATCATCATCTTTATATACTGTGATTTTACCCTGAAAAAAGAACTCTGTCATTGGTTTTATTACTTGTTACAAAAATTCAAAAGTCAAAAGTCAAACTTGTTGCTTCACACATTAACATCGCTATTGTTTTTTTTTTTTTTTGCTGTGCTATCTGGTCATCCGAAATCATCAGAAAAAAAATCTATTTCTATTTTTATAATTTTTTTTTTTTTATTGTGAAGCCATTCGATTTATATAAAATATAAAATAGATGAAACCAACATCTATGAATGAAACCGATCGTCTTATCATGAATCAATTGTGTAAAGTTTGCGGTGAACCTGCCGCCGGTTATCATTTTGGTGCATTCACCTGTGAAGGATGTAAGGTAAGTGTTTTTGAATTTAATTTTTATTATTATTATTGTTTTGTGATTTTATTCCGTTTATATTATATTTGTTTTTTGCCAGACTAAATTTCGTATTTAAATCGGATTTTTTTTTTTTCTAAAAAATCTTTTCAATTACTAAAGTGTGTCTGTCACGCTCCTTTATTTATTTCGATTTTTTTGAAGATAAATCTAACAGGTGCTACCTCACTTGGATGAATTGATATTATCTTAGCATTTGTATAGTTGTCACTTTAAGAATTTGTTTTTCTGTATTTTGTAGATTATTTTCTTTTTCATTTCAATTTTTCAACACATTCATCTGTTAGGCTTTTTTAGATAAATATTAAAAAAACGAGGATAATGATTAATAAGTTGAATTTGAAAAAAAAAAAAAAAAATTGATTTCAAATCCTCAAATAAAATTTGTGTCATAAATCATTTTTCGATATCGTTATTGTTTTTTTTTGTGGTTTGGGTGTATTTCTATGATCTCGATTTCAATGATGATGAAGGCGATTACCGGCTTGAAATATGAAATTATTCAAAAGAAATGGCAAACTTTGATTATTATTTAAACAAAATTTGTGAAACAAACAAAACTTTGGCAATCGATCAATAATATAATATATAAGTCAAAATTGAATATTTGAAAATGATTTTTGATATATCAAAAAGGATAGGTTTGTCATTGTTTTTGTTCATTGTAGCTTAGCTGTTATATTTATTTGTTTATTTTTCCTTTACATACCTGTATCAAATTCATTCAAGGTTTAAATAAATCTTGGTAAATCTTGATTGAATCAATGATGATGATGATGATGATTTCTAGTTGTTGTGATGCACCAACCACAATACTAATCACGATTGTTGTTGGTGGTGGTGGTTTGTTTTTCGTACTGTGTAATAATAATCTAGGTATATTTTTTTTTTTTTTTTGATAATTGATTAATTGTATATCTGATGATCGAGAAAAAAAATGAATTGAAAGAATGGGAGCGAATCACCTTTTTTTCCTCTCTCTTTCTTGACCAATTGGTCAGCAAACCAACCAGTAATCAAATAAATCAATATAAGAAGATTTCATTTGTTTTTTTTTTTGTTTTGTTTTTGTTTTGTTGCCTTGTCTATTCATGTATGATGGAGATGATCATCATATTTCAATGCAAATTATTAATCATTTCATTCGAATCATATCATATTATATTTGGTCCATCTCTACACTAACATGTCTAAAAATTCGATCATTTCTCATAGTAACAACAACAGGAGCAAAATAGATAACATAATCTAGATCAATTTATCAAATTTGTCTATGGTTGTTGTATTAATTTTTCGATCGCTTGTTATTTTGTCTTGTCATTTGGATTAATTTTTTCTTTTCCTATTCCTGTGATGCCTGTTGTTGAACTTTCAATTATAAATTATATATTTCTAGTGGTTAATAATGATCCTGTGGATGAATTTTCCTGTTTGTACTTCAATCGTCTTCATCTTTTTTTTTGACCATTGTGTCTGTCATATCTGGACAGACATTCTAATGTATTTGTTTTTGTTTGATCCAATTTTAAGGGTTTTTGTATTCAATTGTTGTTTCTTGTTATTATAATTTTAATTGTAATTACTATATGTTAATTACTACAATAGAAAAAAAACTCGTGATTAAATGAGATGGATTTCAATTAATTCATTCAATCATATCATCATATGAATATTCAAATGTTTTTTTTTCTTGTTCGTATAGCATTAATTGGTTTGTTATGTGTCAAATCATTTCATGAGAATAATTTTTTTTCCTATACAAACAAAGATAATAAATGCCGATGCAATAACATTCAATTGGTATTGTTTTTACATCAAATACCACCAATTGTTATGGATTGACTTGAATTTTTTTTTTGGAGTGATTTTGTTGTCGTCGTTCTAATTTATATATACAAATATCGAATGTTGTTGTTGTTTTTGTTGATGATGTTGATAATGTTTATTATCCCTAAAACATATATAGCCATAGTATTCACAATTGAATTCCATAGAGATACATTTTGTGTGTGTGTGTGTGTGTTCCATGTCTAATCTGGTTCATCATTTTGGTGACACACATCCATTTTTTTTTTGTAACTAATTTTGTTAATATTATAATCATTCTTTTTTTCATATACTGTACGTGTGATCGTTATGGTGGTTTTACCATGAGGAACACACACATACACACACAGACACATAAAATTCCAATAGATTCCAACAGCCTAGATACCAAAATCTGTTCATCCTATTTTAATGGGGAAAAAAATGAGAATAATACAATTTATATGTTTCTATGTATGAATAGTGTCTGATGAATTCGTGATTTAGATTAATTGATGCTGATTATCATATTTTGTGTGTGTGTGTGTCGTACATAACTCGATCATTGCATAAAATCATAACAACCATATACATACAACCTGTTGAATTTAATATCCATAATATGGTTATTTTCATTATTATTGATTTGTTTTACAGTTCCGGTATTTTTCTATCTATCATCTTTATTGTCATTCTTAATTTTACACTAGGCTGAATAAGAATTTTTTTTATTTTGAATAATGATAATGGTTTCAACAAGAAAAAAAAATCCAAAATCAATTTGATTGATTTGTTTGTCATTCAATCAATCATCACTATATTGTGTTATTGAATTTATCAATAAATTGTATTGGATTACACAAAAGCGAGCCGAAGAGATTAATATTTGAAAAAAAAATAATTTCATTTTCAATTATTGGATAAACTTTTTTTTTCGTTGTTTAGACAACAACAACAACAACAACAACGAATTTTCTACGAACAATAGTCTAATGTTGAGAAAAAAAAGATTAGATGAAAATCAAAATTGAATTTACGAATTTTCATCTTCTCTCTATCTCTCTTGATTAGGAATAGTTTCTGTATATGGAATGTACGTAAATAAATAAATATAGACAAAATATCACTAATCGTCATCACGATTTAACCTTGATTTGTCATCATCATCATCATCATCATCATTCAACAAACAAACAAACAAACATCCATAGTGCACACGCACATATATCATCAAATACAATGATTTTTTTTTTTGCAGATAGACAATCCATAATCATGTATGGATGTTGATGGATAAAAGAAAATGATTTTTCGATTTCTACATTTTCCCCTTTCACCATCACTATTTCATCTCATTTCATAGTAAATGATTAGAAATCCACTTGAAATTCAATTGATGTTCAGTTGTTCATTGTCATTATTAATAATTTATTTTTCCCTCTCACTTTTTCCACATTATTATTCTTATTATTGATTTAGTTTTTGTACCTGTAATGCTCACAAAGCGATTGCGATTCCTTAGTTTGTTTTTTTTATTAGTTGATTTTTACCTGATTAAATGCACCACTGAAAAAATTCAATTTACCTACAAAATCGAAAGTTTTTCCTCAGACACAATGCTAAGCTAAACTTTTACCTCTGAGTTTGATCTCATTCTTCTCCTCATATATTCAGTGTTGCGCTCAATTACCTCCTGATTTTGAATTTTATTTTTCTGCTATGATTCTTTTCGAGGTCTCAAATGACTTTAGGATTAATTTTCATTTAAATTCTATAATTCGGGCAATGACAAAAGACACACATACACAAAGGAAAAAAAATAAAGTCGGCAGGTATGCAATTTTGTTCTTTTACATTTGTTTTAATTTTTTTTCCGTATATCAATGTTTGTTTAGGCTAGTTTTTAATAAAAAAAATGTACTCAAGGTTGCCACGATTCAAGCTAGGCTTATTTTCATAACATTAGGGATTTTGTCCATACAGTTTCTATTGTCTTTTTCGTATTGTTGCTATTTAGGGTATCATCATCATTGTTGACCATTGTCACAATATTTTTTCTACCGCTGTTGTTTTCTTTTAATCGTCTTAAATATGAATTTTTGTTGCTGAAAGCGAGACTTTTTTTAATATTCTTTCATTTACTAGAAGAACAAAGTTTTAAATTTTAGTTCATTTTTTCTATGACATTGATCATCATTATCATTTTAAATTGATCTAGATGATTATGATCATCCATATATGATTCATTCATATTTTTCTTTCAAAAAATCATAGCCAATCTATTTTTTGCCCGCTCTTCCTTGATAGTGATAATTGATTTATTAAATGATTATGGATTTTCTGGTGTATTTTATTCGAATGTTCCAGTTATTTTCAGCTAAATTCATCTCATGTCATATTTTATCTTATAAAACTTTTTTTTCACCTGAGAGATATTTGGATCAGAACATGTGAAGGGAAGGGAAAAAATGACGATGATTATAATGTTATGGTCATTATCATCTTAATTTTTTTTAGCATTCAACTTAATGTAAATGTGATAAGTATGATGATGATTATCATCATTTTGTAATCTTTTCTATACAATCTACATTTGCTTTCTCTGTATAGTGATAATTTGTTGATAATTTTTCATCATCATCATCATCATCATATGGTAAAATTTATTGTATGAAGAAAAAAAGGAGCAAAATAAAAAACGATGAAACTATGATTGATTTGAATTTGTTTCCGTTTTGAATTATGTTATGAATTTTTTCGATGAGCATTTTTTTTATTTAAATGAAAAATGTGACCTTTAATAAATGATATTAAGATATGTTATTTTTTCTATGATACATCCATAATTTTTGTGACATTCAAAGATTCTGGTTTTTTTTAACGAAAAAGAAAATCAAGAAAAATCTTAAATAACCAACAGGTGATGCTTAGCAACTGGTTTGTTCAAAAAAAATGTTTCAAATTCATTTCATTCATTCCAAACAAATAAAATAATAATCATATCGTATCATTTAGCATCTATTTTGTTTCTATTATACAACAGCATTGTATATATTGTTATATATTATTTTACAATCCTTTTGCGTGTCATCATGAGCTTATTATTTCTTCTTTTTTTTCGAGCAGCTTTATGTATGCTAATTTGTTGCTTT